CTGAATGAATGAATGAATGGATGTTATGTTTGTTTGCTGATTCTTATGGCCGATCCTTGCCTTTGTCTCTCGCCTTGATGTACTCGTATGAAGGATAGGAATTTTCCATAGTCATCAATGCTGCTTCCATTTTTGCTTATCTTTTGATTGAGCTGTTGTGGTTGTTGCATCTTGCATGCTCGAAAATTACGGAGTGATTAGGCGATCGAATGTTTGTTGCCCTGCGAACGCCGCGCGAGGACGCGTGTAAACACGCTCTGATTTGCGCCTTTACACGTGTTCCCGTGCGTCGATTCGTCAACTCCAAAACGGACCGCTGATTGTAGGAACACTGCTTGATTGGGTATGGCCATCCTGGGTTTGCAACGGAGCAATCATCCTGTGCGAACATGCGTAAGCGCGACTCGATTCGCACAGCCTACACGTGCTCACACACGGTGATCGCAATCGGCATAGACCCGCCCTTAGGCATCTCGTCGTTCTGCGATGACATAATAACACAGTCTGAGAGATCAGAATCGTTGTACGACCCGGATTACTTCACCCCATGGATAGAAGAAAGCCTTCGACAGAGATTTCCCTGTCTAACAGAAAACCGGTTGTGTCCTAGGGAGTTTCATTGCGCCACCACCGGCGACCCCAGGTGCTCTGATTTCCCCACTTCAGACCACACCCACTACTTTATCTCGACAAATCTTCCCTGGTTTTGTCGTTATCTCCATTAACTTCCCTCCCTTCCGACTTCTTCTCCCGTATCATCAACTCAGGGTCATCCCGTGGAAAGCCATAGCCCCCTACTGGCCCAGCACGCCCTGCGGAAATTGCCGATAACGCGGCAACCAGAGAGCCTCGGGACCGCAAGAACCCAACCAGAACGTACGACGACCGGCGCCACGTGGCGACAACGGACAACCGGACTCATCGGGGTCACACCCACCCCGAAGGGATCTCCCGATGAACCGCCGTCCTCAACACAGATGGATCGCACGACCATAAATGACCCGCGCATGCCATCTGCCTTATGACCAGAAGTGGTCCGCCCTCTCTGCCAAATTGCACCCGTGCCCCCAAAAAACTCTGCCACATGAGATCTCAGTTCTGACCTGGGACTCCACCCCCACTTTCCCAAAAATCCTCGGCACACCCCTTTTCGCACTTCCAGGACCACATTCTACTCCGATCAGGAAGTCGCGCTGGGCGTGAGGTTGGTATCGGAGCCCGACACGTGGTCAGGTTGTAAGGACTAACGACGTGATAATTGAGCGATCTGGCTAACCGAGGGAGACCTCGACCCCGGAACGCGCATAGACGCGACCCCATCATCACTAGAAGCAGATCGGCTAATTGATGGGCAGCCAATATGAACATTAATCCACAGAATCCGAACCCACAGCAGCAGAATGCCAATCAACAACAAAATCCTAATCAACCCGCCCCACGAGCACGGGCTCCCATGACGCCACCTGATCTCTATTTGTTTGACCTTGCACATCATCTTGCTGCAGCGTGGTTAGCCACGCTCCGGGCACAACAGTATGACGACAATGAAGCTCAGGTAAACATTCCCGCCCGATTAGGAGGGGACGCTCATCATTGGCTTAGTACCTACGTATGGGTGGATCTCCCTACTTTTGAGCGAGATTTTTTGAACCGATTCGACTATGTCCATCCAGAGCAAGCACTCTACATGATCAAGGACCGAGTTCAAAAACCTCTCGAGTCCATTGCAGAAGATTGAAAGCGGTTCTATCGAATGTTTGTGAAAACTGAGTGGGGCGAGCAAGTAAGGAGAGATCTGTTTATAGACGGATTCCGCAGCTGGACGATAAGGGCGAAACTGTGGAAACAGTTCTCCCCCATCAATCAGACGCTGCAACAGGTTATGGCAGCTGCAGAGGAGATGGAACGGAAGTTCGCAGTGAGTTTCTTAGAAGGAGAAGACTATCCTCAGGAAGGAGACTCGTCCGAGCTGGCTGCGTTGCAAGACAAGTTAAAAAACATAAGGTTTGTATTAGGACCTGTTACCTATCTGGAACAGATAGCCCCTAAACGACCGACCCTGAGTGTAATCACGAGTGTCCCTGTTCCTGTGATGCCAACACCTGTAATGACGGTACCCCCGCCACCGATTGAGAACCCTGTGAGGTCAAATGAGTCCACTGCCATTTTTTTTTTAACTGACCAAAACATTAATTAGCCTAATCCAGGAGAGCAAAAAGGAACAGCGAGAGCATAACGCTTGGTTATAGGCTATGATGAGGAACATGCGGCCCATCGCAGTACGTGCCGCTCCAATCCAACAAGGACTGGCCCCGGCACCTGCGCTTGGAGGGGCCGCAAGCAATCCGAATATTTGTTATGCATGCCATCAAGCCATCAAGCCATCTAGCCCGTGATTGCCCCCACCTGCCCCCGCAACAACGGGTTGGGGTCGCACCCATCATGGCAGCGGCCCCCATCGCTAACGAACCTGGACGGGTAGGAGCCCTGATGGAAGAAATGGAAGCTGGAGGAAGTGCGTTAGCTACCACAGAAGAAGTTGTCGAGCTCATCCCGTTAGATCGGTATGTATCGCTTGGTTATCCTGGACTTGGAATGATTGGAATGATCAGACCGGCGCCGGAACAGAAAGAAGTGGCGAAGTGGCGACCTTCTCCGGGAGAGATGGAGTTGGGAGGACCCACCTTCGTCACTGGGGAAATTGATGTGCTGAACATCATCCGAGCTTTGGACCATCGGATTCCACTTCCGATCGGCCATCTGCTCTCGATCTCTGAACAAGCTAATGAGCGAACGTTACAGCACTGTAAGGCGAATCGAAAGTGATTCGCCCTCGCCCGAACAACGAACGTGAAAGCTAAAAGCCCCCCGCCAGACGAAAATACGGCTGGCACTTCGGATCCAATACGGGTAGGGTTAATACAGAAAGACGATCATTTCCTACGGATTAAACCCATCCCTTGGAAATTTGCAGAATGCGACATTGAAATATGGGGAATTCCGTACAATGCAATCATTGATTCGGGAGTTGTTGTTCTGGCTAGTTTGCTGCGAGTAGTTGAGAGGGCGGGTAGGAAAAACGATCTGATCATGCTTACGGAGAAGCATTAACTCGTTTCGGCAGACGAAGAAAAAATTAAAACAGCGGGAAGAATGACCAATGTTGCTTTTCGATTAGGGAAGGTGCATGCGCTGAGAGATGTCGTAGTATTAGATGTAAACATCTACGACGTCCTTTTCGGCCTTCCCGCTCTTGTGGCGCTACGAGCAAAATTGGATTTCGAGCGACGG